TGCAGAGTGTTCTTTCCTTTTGATTTTCTAACTCCAGGTCTTTGCACATTTCATTGTAATAACTGACTTTGTCTTCTTGAGCTGCTCTTTGAAATCTTGATGGAATACCCACTGAGATGTTTCAACAAACGGATGCCATGCTAGAGCAGTCTATGCCAAGGAATTTGGACTGGCCAACTGACTAGAAGAGATCCATTTTTGTACCCATTCCAAAGAAAGGCTATTCCACAGAATGTGGAAATTATTAAACAATATCTTTAATATCACATGCAAATAAAATTTTGCTGAAGATAATTCAAAAACAGTTGCAGCAGTTATATATAATTAGGTTAGAGTTAAAAGCGATGTTTTTCAAGGTATGGCCCACAGATCGTAATCACCTGTGATTCTTTTTTTTTTTTTTGGCCTAACACAGATTCATTCTCTTACAGTTTTGGAAGCTAGAAGTCCAAATTCAGAGTGCTGGCTCTAGGGGCTGAGTGAAGGTTCTTCAACCTTGGACTTCAGCTCTGCCTGTCATTCCAGATTCACTGGAACTGGAGGCTTCTCATAACTCATGCAGCTGCTGACTGCTGAGGCTGATGAACTCAAGGCTGGCAAGCAGAATAGCACAACCCCAAGACTGGTAGGCAACCTGGCAGATCACCTGTGATTCTTGATTAAAATGTATCTTATTGTTGTTGTCATGTGCCATCGAGTCGGACCCGACTCATAGCGATCCCTCCTTGGATTTCTGAGGCGATATCACTACAGAAGTAGATTGCCCAACCTTCCTTACAAGGAGTGGCTGGTGGATCTGAACCACTAGCCTTCTGGTTAGCAGTCAAGTGCCTTAGGCACCACTCAACCAGAGCTCCTAAACTGTACCTTAGGACCACTGAATCCAAAGCTCTGAAGGAGGAACTCAGAAATCTGCATTTTTAAACACCCTTCCAAGGTTCCCACTGTGGTCCAGTTGATTCTGACTCATACTGACCTGACAGTACAGAGTAGAAGTACTCCATAGGGTTTCCAAGGTTGTAAATCTTTACAGAAGTAGATTGCTACATCTTTTTCCTGTGGGTTCGAAGTACAATCATTCATTTAGCAGGTGGGTGCTTAACCAGTGTGCCACCAGAGCTCATTCTTACAAGGTTTCCTTCTACCCTGGGTTTTGGAGGTGATATCTCTACAGAAGTAGATAACCCAATCTTCCTTCTGAGGAGTGGCTGGTGGGTTTGAATCGCCAGCCTTCTGGTTAGCAGTCAAATGCCTTAAGGCACTACGCCACCAGAGCTCTCAACGTTATATTACCACACTTAAATATAAAAGCCTTTGGTTTAAGGGCTAGGCCAGTGAGAAGATTCAAGAGTAAGATGGAAATTTTAGATCAATCAGCTAAAATGTGCCAGTAAACTAGCCATATAAAACCATCAAAGCATTCCTTTCCTTCCTCACTAGTAACTCATTATCAAAAAACTGATAAGGAGATTCTGGCCTGTCAAGAAGGCAGACAATGCAAGAACAAATAAAAAATTCCTAAAGAATTTGGAAGAATCAAAATATTTTCCCACAAGTGCATATATAGATATGAACTATCAAATGCTTATAATCTCTGTTGCTTTAAGTATTTCTTCTATACTTGATGGTTGATTATATAAACAGCTTTTCACCAGTCAACTATGATTCTCTTTCTGTTTGATTTTGCCCATTTGGTTTCCTGCAGTACACTGACTGTTTCACACACATTCTGTACTACTTCTTACTCTCAGATGCTCTTTTAATCATCTAGTTATTTATTGTTGTGGTCAGCTGCCATCAAGACAATTTGATTCCAACTCATGGTGACCCCATGTGTGCAGAGGAGAACTGCTCCGTGGGATTTTGACGGGCTTTTGGAATCAGACTGCCAGGACTGACTTCCAAGGCACCTCTGGGTGGGTTTTGAACTGCTAACCTATTGTCTAACAGTCAAGCGTTTAATTGGTTTGCGTTCAAGTTTAATGTTTTCTAAAATAGAACTGTAAGAAAGAAAATGTTTAACTGGTTTAAGTATTCATATATGTAAGGCTTAGATTCTTATTAACATACACAGTTCTGTACACCCATGTAAATGTCCAACAGGCCTTGGCAGCCATGTTGAAAATGAGACTGGTCTCCTAAGGGCAATCCATGGAGAGCACTGTAAGTAGACTGGACGTTCCCATCACGATTGTGCAAACAATTTAAGGCGAAATATGAAAGGTGTAGTTTGTAGCTTCACTTTCAAATATAAGAACAATGTTTTAAAGCCACTGTAATAAGCTACAGCCAAGGCTTTAACAAAAATTGATATAATTAGTATGATTTTGGGGACAAGGAAATAGAAGAAACAAAAATTAAGGAAGGACAATGGCAATTTTCTTCCAGATACACATTACTTACTTACTCTATGAACAAATAAAAGTAACATTCCTTGTTGCCAAAACAGCCCTAATATAAATTTTATCCAAGGTATGCAAAAGTCAGACATTGAAATGTTAAACAAAGGCAGTATAACCTTACAATAAAGATACCAAATAATCTCACACGCTCGATATGTGTTATGTTACTTCAAATAGTCTGCCATAACTGTTAAGATATAGCTCATTTATTCCACTTGCATTTCAAATTGCTTTGTGCCATAATGAAGCCTTTGAAGTTAGCCTAAATTAATATTTATCTACAAAACAAAGAAAATCTCTCGATCTACTAATCCTTTTAGTCATCAAGGAAAACGAAAACCATACTAACAATACACCAGTGCTATCAACCGACCTTCCAAACATCACTGTGTACCTATTGTTGTTGAGTCCACTCTGACTCACAGCAACCTTATTATAACAGAATGAAACACTGCCTAATTCCTGTGTCATCCTTACAATCTTTGATATGTCTGAGGCTATTGTTGCAGATACTGTGTCAATCCACCTCACTGAGGATTACCCTTGTTTTCATTGACCCTCTACCAAGTATCATGTTCTTTTCTAGCAACTGGTCTTTCCTAATGATATGTCCAAAGTAAGGTAAAACCTTACCATCCTCACTTCTAATAACCATTCTAGCTGTACTTCCTTCAAGGTAAGTTTGTTCTTGCTGCAATCCACAGTATATTCTATATGCTTTGCCAACATCTGAATGTGTCAAGTCTCCTTTGGCCTTTCTTTTTATTGTCCAGGCTTCACATACACATGAGGTGACCAAAAATACCATGACTTGATCAGGAGCACCTTGGTCATCAAAGTGACATCTTTGCTTTTTAAGATTCTAAAGAGGTCTTTTGCAACATATTTACTCAATGCAATACATCCTTTGATTTCCTGACAGCTGCTTCCATGGCCATTAATTATAGAATGAAATTCCTGACAATTTCAATTTCTTCACCATTTATCATGATGTTTACTAACCCAGCTACAGGGATTTTCATTTTCTTTATGCTCAGGTATAATCCATACTGAAGACTATATAGTCTTTTAACTTCATCAGTTAAGTGCTTTGATTTGTTTTCATTTTTTGGCAAACTAGGTTATATCCTCTGGATATCAAAGGTTGTTAATGAATCTTCCTCCAATCCCATAATGCAGTGTTCTCCTTCATATAGTCCACCTTCATGTATAATTTGCTCAGCATACAGACTGAATGAGTAAGATAAAACGATACAACTCTGCTATACATCTTTCCCAATTTTAAGCCACATTGTATCCCCTTGGTCTATGTAAAGTTCCCCATGAGCATAATTAAGTGTTCTGGAATTCCCATTCTTCTTAATGCTTCCCATAATTTGTTATGATCCACATAGTTGAACACCTTCACACAAGTAAACATCTTTCTGGTCAACTCTAACAGTTCCCTACTGATGTACAGTTGCAGCCATTTTTAAATTATCTTCCGCAAAATTTTGCTAACATGTGATATTAATCACACTGCTAAATAATCTCTGCATTCCATGTGATTTATCTTTCTTTGGAATGGACATGTATATGATTCTCTTGCAACTGATTGGCCAGGTAACTGTCTTTCAAATTTCTTGACATAGACAGCAAGCACTTCCAAAGTTGAATCTGTTTGTTGAAGCATTTCAATTAGTATTCCATCAACTTCAGGAGCCTTGCTTTTTGCCAATGCCTTCAGTGCAGTCTGAACTTCTTCCTTCAGTATCAGCAGTTCATTATATGCTACTTCTTAATATGTCTGAATGTTGAACAAGTCTTTTTGGTACAGTGACTCTGTGTATTCCTTTCATTTTCTTTTGATGTTTCCTGCATCATTCAATTTTTTGCAACTCGAGGCCTGAATTTTCTCTTCAGTTCTTTCAACTTGAGAAATGCAGCTTTAGAAATGCTGATTCTGTTCTTCCCTTTTGGTTTTCTAACTCCAAATCTACACACTTTTTATTATAATACTTTATCTTGTCTTCTTGAAACATTCTTTGAAACCTTCTGCTCAGCTTTTATTTCATTATTTTGCTCTCTTCCTTCTTTCCTGTCTTTGTAATGACCTTTATTCCTTCCTAACTCCACTAATCCCTTCAATCATCAAATAAAACAAAAGTCATACCAACAATACACTAGCATATTCAGAACATACTCAGAGCGTATCCAGAATAATCCTTCAGAACACTGCGACATACAACCCATGTAAAGCCTATAGATTAAGCAGAAAAGATGTGAGAGGCAGGACAGAGGCCTCGGAGATGGTCATCTCACCTGTTGATGAAACCATATCTATTTCTTACACTGAACCATTTTATTGTTCCCCAAATCTCCACTGCTGACAGCCTTTCCTCTTCAGTTAATGAGTATGGGGTTTCTTTTAGGGTAATAAAATGTTCTAAAATTGGCTGTGGTGATGGTTACAGAACTCTGTTTATATACTAAAAACTACTGAATATGTACTTTAAATGGGTAAATCGTATGGTATAGGATTCATATCTCAACAAAGCTGTTAAAAACGATGTTGAAGCAAAGTCACCATTCCCAACCCCGTGAGCTGCTGGTACTTACTTTGAAGTCTTCATGGAATCATCCGCCCAGCCTCCCTGGCGGCGGGGTGGTTTTGGAGGTGGAGCCTACAGAGAGAAGCCAAATATATTCAATCAATGTTTGCCTACGAACTGAGGTTAAGGTCAGACCTAAAACTGTATTTAGTCTGTCAAACTTTTTGAATAAAGATACAGCAACCTGTGTAATATACTATGAAAATTTAGGTACTTTTATACCACTCTGGTGGATATATAAATTGATACAAGGTTTCTGGAGGTCAACTTGGCAAAGTGTATTGAAAGTTTTAAAAATGGTCATACATTTCGAGTCAGTATTTACCACCTCAGTAATTTATCCCAAGGAAATAATCAGAGAGGAACATGTTGCTTCTGAATAGTGAGTAACCTGAAATAACCTAAATGACCAGTAAGAAGTACATAAGTAAATCACAGAATCAACATGTGAAAATACTATGCAATAATAAAAAGTGTTATAAAAAATACTTGATGAGAAAGTTCAATACACATTTTTTTAAATGTTGCAAAATAGTAGGTATGTTTCAGATTTTGTGAAAAGATCACTAATACCTAATTTTGTTGTTGTTAGCTGCCATCAAGTTGGCCTCGACTCATGGTAAGCTCATGCACAAACAGAACAAAATGTCTAGTCCTACATCATTCCTATAATTGATTGGGGACTGGACAATATTCCATTGTGTCCAGAGTTTTCATTGGTTGATTTTCAGAAGCAGACTGCCAGGCCTTTCTTCCTATCAATTTATAATAATAATAATAAAAACTAAATAAAAAAAGATATTAACTTATAATATCTAGTGTTAACTCAGGAGGTGGTGGTGGCATAGTGGGTAAGACATCTGGTTGCTAACCAGAGGCTGGCGACTCAAAACCACCAGCTGTTCCACTGGAGGAAGATGAGGCAATCTATTTCCATAGACTTACAGCCTTGGAAACCCAATGGGGTCACTATGAGTCAGAATTGACATGATGGCAGAGGATTTTTGTTTTGGTTAGTGTTAAGCTGCTGTATGCACATAAGGGGAAAAGAGACTCCAATGATCAAACTGCGGGTAATTTTAATTTTCCTTTTCTGTGTTGTATATTTTCCATTTTTTTTTAACAATCAACTTCCACTATTTTTATAAACAGAAAATAAAGACGTAATAGAGAAGCACATTTTGAGGGCAAACTAAACTGGTGGGTTGAAAATCTACTCAAATTATTTGGGCAGGAAGCATTCATCTGCAATGCATACATTCAGAAACTCAAGTGCAGAATTCTTGTCTAGCATATAGTAACCAAAAGTACCAGAGGAGTAGTAACTAATCCACTGAACTAGTCATATAGAATACCAGAATATTTCCTATTTTGAATTATTCAGTATTCTCCTAAAACTGATTTTTAAAGTATTAATTTTCTTTTCCTAAGACTTGATCTAAGTGCAACTCTCGCACTCAGTCTAGGAGGTACTTTGATCAACAGACTAGAACAAGGTGTGGTAGTTAAGGTTATGTGTCAACTTGGCTGGGCCTGGTTTTGAGTAGCTGGCAGCTGGATGTAGTTATTCCCCATGATGAGGTTGGTAATCAGCTCCATGGTGGAATCTGCCGCAAGCAGCTGAGTAGCTGCTGTAGGGATGTGGTCTGCTTCTGGTATGTAAGGAGCAACTTTGGGAATGGTCTGCAGCTTTTTGGCATGCTTGAACCCTGCATGTAGCTCAGTCTTTGCTTAGTTGCCTGCCATGTTTCCTGCCGATCTTGGGACTGTCTCTGGACTTGAACTAATGGCCTGCTGTGTGGTGTGGTAATAGTGGGACTGTGCCTTTTTACTTGTCCACCTTGGGTTTGTCAGCCTCAACAGCGGGCAGCCACCTGAGTGAAGAAAAGCCTCCAACTTCAGTGGGCTGGGAGCAAGAGGCAGAGCTGAAGCCCAAGGTCCAGAGGCTTTTTCTCAGCCTGTAGAGCCTGGCACTTTGAACTCAGACTTCTAGCCTCTAAAACTTTAAGAGAAGAAACTCCTGTTTATTAAAGTCACCCATTTGTGGTATTTTCTGAGAGCAGCACAAAGTAACCAAAATACAGGGTTGGCAAACTTTTTCTGTAAAGGGAGAGGTAGTAAATATTTTTTGCTTCTGTGGAGCGCACAGTGTCTGCTGCAACTACTCAACTGGGATACCAAAGAACAAACAGCCATAGAGAGTAAGGAAATAGAGTCAGGTGCAGCATAACATCCATGTGGGCACCGCCTGTACATCCATGGTCACCACTCCTGTAAAGCCTAATCTATTAAAAATCTGAGGTACACCCAGGCATAAAACTCAGAAGGCAAAGATAGGAAAGAAGGACAAAGGGAATAGTACACAGGGAAGAAGTGGGAAGAGCTCCGTTACACTGTGGGAATTACAATCAATGTCACAGAACAAAATGCATATGAACTGTTGAATGGAAAACCAATTTATTCTGTAAACTTTCACCCAAATCACAACTAAAGGTTTTTAAAAAATAATGTTAAAAAAAAAATAGAGGTACATACAGTGGTTCACAGTAACAAACAGGCACTCCTATGCAATGTGTAAATCTGCACATTCAACTTGTTAATTCAAGCTATCATTTAAATTTAAAGACTTCTAGCCAAAGTCAAGATTTCCAGTTCTATTGAAAAACTGGAAGATCTAGTGATGCTAGGTCCACTTTTTCACGCAGCCACCGCCAGCTGGGGAGCAACAGCAGCTGCCCCTCGGCACAGGGTATGTGTGTTCCAGTTTGCCGAGCTCTCCACCTTCTAGCTCTGTGTCCTCTGTGGCAAATCAAGAGCCAGTTGCCATTTATGATTACAGCACTTGCACTATTTTATACCTCCTAGTACAGAATTATTCCTCTGTTCTAATGTCTCACAGATGTGGGTAAATGAAAGCAGTGCCATGTTTTGAGGAAAATGGAACAGTGTATTTCTTGGTGGAAATGTGGACTTTTCTCACATGTTGAGTACATAACCCCTAGTCTACCTCACTCACTGATACTACCTACCTGGCCATTGTAGCCAATGGGGTGGAGGGAGACCCCCTGAACTAGTCTCTTAGAGCTACCCCCCTGCTTTCTTCCCTTTGCTCTGGATATTGAGGAAGACTGAATTAATCCAAATAAAACCTATGCTGTCATAATATCAGGAGTGTCCAAGTCTACCTGGGAGCTTTTCCAATGCTGTAAGATGCTAAGAGCCCAGAAAAAGGAAAGGTCACCAGATGGAAACTGGGTAGCACCTGCAAGGTTCCACAACCTCTGTCTGCTGCTAACACTTGTTTCCTACTATATGGGCTGTGGTTGCGATGTGGACAGGAGAGCAGAGATCAACCCGGGAAAGGACTGTGAAAGATTGTTGTTGTTGTTGTGTGCCGTTGAGTCGGATGTGACTCATAGCGACCCCTCCTTGGGTTTCCGAGGTGATATCACTATGGAAGTAGATTGCCCGACCTTCCTTCCGAGGAGTGGCTGGTGGGTTTGAACCGCCAGCTTTCTGGTTAGCAGTCAAATGCCTTAGGCACTATGCTACCAGAGCTCCCTCTATGAAGATCAGACCATGTATAATAAAATGGTCAATCGCTTGGAGAAAAAGCAAAAGACTTCATTGAGACTGGCCTGAGCAGTCAATGTGAGTGTTAATGGACATAAACCCTGCCATTGAGTCAATTCAATTCCAACTCACAGCAACCCTCTAAGACAGAGGAGAACTGCCCCACTGGGTTCCCAGTGCTATAAATCTTTACAAAAGCAAACTGCAACATCTTTCTCCCATGGAGTGGCCAGTGGGTTTGAAATACCAACCTTGTGGTTAGCAGACGAGTGCTTAACCACTGTACCACCAGGGATCCTTATTAATTGACGTATGGTTAATAAAGTTCCCTAAGATTCCAAAAATCAAAATGATCTGCTTTATCTTCTTTAATCACAAACACCAGGACCCCATGGCTACTAGGGGGTGGAAAGGCTTGAGTGAAAATTCTGCTGGCTAAAGGTAACCCAAAGCCACATTTTTCCCCATGACAAAATTGTTCCAGCACTAAATTATGAGAGCAGCTTCAAAATGAAAATGTCACCCCTTAAGAATCACTTCTCTATTACTAAAATGGTTTAATAACCAGTTCTAAAAGCAAAGTTGCTCTTTTTTCCACTAACATCTGAAGACTTCAGGAGTTGGTATTATAAAAACTAATAATTCATTAGCTCAGGGTCCTCTGGTCTTCTGTATAAGCTCCTTTTCTTCCCCCCAATCACTGTGACCCTTGGGAGAGGCAGAGTTCTACAGAAATCCTCTGAGCAAAATGAAGCAGGGATAATGAAAACTTAAAAAAAAAAAAAAAGTGGTGGGGGCTACAAGAGTCCTTGCTTCTCACTGGAAGTCCTGGCAGGCCTCAGGAAGAGTACTGAGGCCGGTGGGAAATGGGGAGGGCCAGGCAGAGCTTAGCTCTCTGCAAGGCAGGGCCTGGACAGAGAGGGAGAGAGCTATCTCCTGATTGGGAATCCTTCTATTCATTATTTAGTACTCGAGTCCAAGGATAAAAACTTTTTCTAAAAACACCACCTACTACAAGTCTTACGGCCACACACAAATACCGTCTGGATGTTGTTGTTAGATGCGTTCAAGCAGCACACAGCGACCCTGTGTGTAACAGAACAAAACAACGCCTGGTCCTCTGCCATCCTCACTACCTTTGCTATGCTTCAGGCCATTGTCTCAATGCCCACCGACACAGCCCCTGTGTCAATCCATCTCATCGAGGGTCTCAAGGAGACCTTTCTTTATGACCTTCCACTTTACCATGCATGGTGTCATCCTCCAGGGACTGTCCTTTCTGACAACATGACTAAAGTACAAGAGACAAAGTCTGGCCATTCTTGCTTCTAAGGAATATTCTGGCTGTACTTCTTCCAAGACAAATCTGTTCATTCTTCTGGTAGTCCATAGTTATTTTCAGTGTTGTTCCCCAGCACCACAATTCAAATGCATCAATTCTTCTTCAATCATCTTTATTCACTGTCTAGCTTTCATACGCATTATGAGACCACTGAAAG